ATTTCACCTTGTCAAAATAAAGAAGCAACTCGATTTACCATTCGTGTATCCGGTAGCCCTGATGCTGCTTCCCGGGGTTTCGCTGGTGTAGGTATAGTATTGTGTCGTAGGGCAGAACAATCTCTCCTTGACTGGATCCCAGTAGATAGTCGCTTGTGCGCTGTCCGACTAAACGGGACAGTAAGGATTCGAAAGGATAGAGACACTCGTCGTTGCCTCTTCGTCATATCAACCTACGCCCCCACTGACTGCAGTCCAGACGATATAAAAGATGAGTTTTATAGGAAGCTTTCGGACCTCCAAAAAGCTAGGCGCTCTGATGTAGTATTATTGGCTGGTGACTTTAATGCTCAAGTAGTTAGACTAAGTGAAAATGAAAGACACCTAGGCGGATGTTATGGTGTCGCGGCTCAAAGAACAAACAATGGCGACCGTCTGTTGCAACTGTGCTCAGATAACCGCCTATTTCTAGCAAACACTAATTTTAAGCATAAGGAAAAACATCTTTTGACCTGGTGACCCCCGTAGTCGTCTCAACGTTGTACGCAACCTGATCATATCGCCATCAGCCACCTATAGAGGGGTTCGATAGATGACTGCCGCTCGTTCTGGGGCACATGTTTAGATTCAGATCATGCCCTAGTGCGAGTTCGTATTTGTTTGAGGCCTACTGAACGTAGGAAAGACACCGTAAGGAAGCCTCTTAGGGTTTTACCTAATGATAATGAAACTAAGAAAATATTTCAGGAGGAACTAGAAAAACAGTTAGGCGACCATGGAAGTGATTCCCATCCGGAGGCAGGTTGGAATGATATCAAGAAGGCTGAGGAAACAGTAGTGATATCTGCTAGCAAGGTAAACCACGAGGCTATAAAGAAGCCGTGGATTTCAGTAACATCTACCGAACTGATGGATGCTCGAATACGCATCCCGCCTGACTCTGAACATGATGAAGAGCGTAGTCAGCTTAGGCGCAGACTTATAAAAAGCCTTCGTAACGACCGTGAACAGTGGTGGGTGGCGAAATCAAAAGCGATGGAAAAGGCAGCGGCGATAGGCAACACTAGATAACTTTTCCGCCTTATTAAAGAAACCAGTATTAGGAATCCGAATGTGAGTGAGACTATCTCGGGAAAGGATGGTCTTATTATCCATTCTCAATCCAGGAGACTGGACCGATGGGCAGAACACTTTAGGGATCAGTTCAACTGGCCTCGAGCCACACTTCGGTTGCCCACGATCCCCAGTCATCCTGAATGGCCAATCGATTTAAGTCCTCCCAGTCTACATGAAGTTGAGAAAGCTATAGGAAGTCTGAAGCGATATAGAGCAGCAGGTGCTGATAGATTGACCCCTGAGATATTTAAGGATGGTGGTCCAGTTTTAACAGTTAGACTGACCGAGATCCTAGGTAGAATCTGGGAACTGGACGTAATCCCATCTGACTGGTCTCAGTCGCTAATTGTCCCAATCTACAAGAAAGGACAAAAGTCCTGTTGTGACAATCACAGGGGAATAAGTCTAACTAATATAGCATCGAAATTTCGGCCTCAATAATACTTCGACGCTTAACGAAAGCTCGTGAAGAGCAAACTCGAGAAAACCAGTCTGGTTTTCGACCTGTACGTGGTTGTATAGACCACATCATCACACTACGACAGGTCCTGGAACGCAGACACACATTTAAACGTCCGACAATAGTCGTGTTCCTGGACCTAAAAGCGGCATTTGACTCAGTAGATCGTGAGGTTCTGTGGCAGTGTCTGTCATTGAAAGGTGTACCAAAGAAGTATATTAACCTTATACAAGCCCTCTACTCGAACACCACTGGTCGAGTGAGGGCTTATGGCGAACTGTCAACGGAATTCTTTACTTCAAGTGGTGTCTGTCAGGGATGTCCACTTTCTCCATTCTTGTTTAATTTTATCATATACATGCTCCTAGAAATAACCTTATCCTCGTCAGAATTTTCAGGAGTAGACCTTTTACCAGGTGGCTCGCTTATTGACTTAGAACATGCCGATGACATTGTCCTACTTGGTGAAGACGCTGACAAAATGCAGAGTCTTCTGTCCACCCTAAGCAACAATGCATGCATGTTCGGGATGCCTTTTTGCCCCTCGAAATGCAAAATGTTGCTTCAGGATTGGATTTCGTCGGCACCTGAACTGGTGATAGGGAGTGAAGTAGTCGAGCGTGAGATCGCTTCACGTATGTAGTGAGCCTCATCAGTGCTGATGGCCTGGTGACTGATGAAATCTCATCTCGGATACAGAAGGCTGAATTGGCTTTTGCTAACCTGCGTCACTTATGGCGAAGGCGAGATATCCGTTTGCTGACTAAAGGACGGGTGTACTGCGCAGCAGTTCGCTCCGTCCTACTATATGAGTGTGAAACATGGCCCTTAAGAGTAGAAGACTTTCGTGGGTTACTAGTCTTTGACCGTCGTTGTCTCCGAAGCATTGCTCGTGTATCCTGGAACAACCGTATATGCATTGCTGCCGTTAGTAAACGAGTTCTAGGTAGGGATGGCAAATTAATAGACGAAGTTGTGAAACTTCATCAGTTGAGGTGGTTGGGACATGTGTTGCGTATGCCCAACCACCGACTGCCTCGTCGAGCTTTGTTTTGTAGTGTAGGAGTAGGTTGGAAGAAAGCTAGGGGTGGCCAAACCAAAACATGGCAGAAATCCATGAAATCATTGACGAGTGGGCTTAGCCATGTCGGTAATTGTCGACTACCTGGTTGGGTTCCGCGAGATGATAATAATCGATGGTTAAAGACCTTGAATGACATGGCTCAAAATCGTTCGCAATGGCGCCAGTGCATTTATTCTTTGTGTTCTCTCAAATCCTAATCTTCTGGGTTCTTCAACAAATCTAGTTTTGTCTTTCTAAACTTTTCTCATTAAATCATACTTCTTGAATCATATCTTCTAATCCTAACCTCTCCGATTACTCCTAATACCCTTACTACCTCTTCTACTATTTGATTTGAATTGACAATTACATCTCTGTGCTGATGTGGTATGGCGACATGAACTGATGTACTTACGTACGAAGTTCTACGTTGCATCTGACTGACTGATGTTTTGATTTGGCCACCCCTAACTTGCTTACAGCCTACTCCTACACCGCAAAACATCTCGTCGAAGCAATCGGTGGTTAGTCATACGTAACGTATGTCCCAACCACCTCCAATACTTAATCTATTGATTTGCCATCACTACCTAGTACTCATTTCTTAACGACAGCATTGCTTACTCGGTTGTCCCATGATACACGAGCAATGCTTCAAAGACTCCTATGCTCCAGGTTCTGATGAGGAATAAAAATATGGTATAGACATCTACGTCTGCTCTTCACGAGCTCTGGTTAGACATCTACTTATTATTGAAGCCGACATCGTATACACTATATTAGATAAACTGATTCCTCTGTGTTTGTCATAGGACTTTTGTCCTTTACTATAAACTGTGATAGTCGGTGATTGACAACAGTCAGATGGGATTACGTCCAGTTGCCAGATTCCACCTAGGATCTTAGTCAGTCTAACTTGCCCATACTGGACCATCATCCTTCCAGATATACGAATCGTAAATCAAGACAGTTCTTCATATTGCAAAGGTGGGGTAAAATGAATTACTCTACTCGGATACTGTATGCGCGTTTTGGAGACGCGGAATACGTCGATGGAAAGAGATTCTAAAGTCCTAGCTGATGAAGCCTGTTGTCCTATTTGGCACAAGGTCCGGATACTAAAAGCTCCAACATGTAGTTTAGAACGGAATTTCAGGAGATCAGGAATTATGTTTCGTGAGCTCGAGTCGCTTGCATTAGCTGTGTGGGGTGATAAAGAAGTGTAAGAAGGCTTAGTTGTTGATATAAAAGAGTTATTAAAAGCTTAAGGAAGGATTTGATTGTGACCAATTTGGTCCCGTGTAATGTTACGAGTATGAGAGCGGATATCACTTGCCGACTGCCCCACACCGTCGAAGGGTATTTCTTGATGAACCTGAAAAGCAAGTTGGATGTGTTGGTCTTAGAGACCTATGAGCATGACCATAGAGCGCAAGCGTCATCAGCTTAAGGTCGGTCACATACGACTTTTTCGTTGGAAAATTTTGAATTGTTAGCTCCGCTCTTCACGTGACCTTACTGCTGGAGACCAAAATCAGTTGGGTAAGGTAAGGTGTGAAATTTTTGGGCCGATCTTTTGTAACTCCGTCCCTCCTTGTTAGAGGCATCATTGCTTCAGATGCTGGTTGTCTGAGGAAAGCAGCTTACTGCTGTCACACCCCTCTGCAGTCAGCAGTACGACTTCGTCCTGAGACCTTGAGTAGCTGCTTTTAGTCTCATCGTTCTCCAATCGACCAGCCTGGCATGGTAGAGCCTACAGGAACATATGTTTCAGCCAATATAGCTCGGTTGGATCATCACGATAGGCTAGGCCGACTATCACCTCAAGTTAGCAGCTACGGTCGGGTGTTTTACTCTCAATCACCAAGTGTTACATTGGTACCCTTCTCGTTTGTAAATAAAACACGCGTTGTACCCTAGATGCATAGTATCACACAACTTCTTTGTATATGCATATATATCCATTATGCCGTTGACTAATATGATTCGGTAGTTTGATAATATCTGAGTTTCAATTCGTAATCTTGTTCCGCTTACCATAGTTTACTCATCCAACTAGAGTTTAAAGTCCTTTAAATCGGTGTATTTTATTGTTTACCATAAAATTCCATATAATTGTGGAATCATATACTCTGCTGTATCTCAGCTTTTTATCTAATCAAATATTGTCTTTTTTGCAGCCAGCATAGGATTAAAACTATGCTAAAATTGAGTTATAATAAACTATTTAAATTCTTTTCCCTTTATTCAAATGACTACAAGATTGGATTAAAATTTGTTATTTTACATATAAAGCCAGCTACTTTCCCTAATTTATGTTTCAGTTTTTCTTCTGCAATGTCAAGTGACTTCAGAAGTGCGATGATTCAAGTAATTGCTCAGCTTTGTGGTCAAGTCGGCTTCGAACAAATCACAGAAGCCTCACTTGAATTGCTAATTAGCGTTGTGGAGGCATATTTCCTCGCCTTGGTTAAAAATGTACATACTTTGACGTCTTCAGGTAATTATATTTATTGTTGATAATTTTCCAGACGGTTGTGCTCAAGTTTCAGATGGACTGCTAGCGTTGCGTTTGATGGGTCAAACGCCACAAGGCCTTGCCAAGTTTGTCATAGATAACAGTCAGTTTTTCACGCCAGCGCCTACTATGACATGTGGGCCTATTTATGGGAAATTATGCTTGAATATCCCTCCTGAAGATCACCCTGAATTAGAAGAGCGACCTCCTTTCATCCCTCGCCATTTGCCGCTAAATTATTGTGAGGACTTTGGTAAGTAGTGTAAATACTTCCAAAATAACTTATAGGGAGTCAAACATGTTCTCAGGCAGAACCAACCCTCAAAGAATTTACTTCCACTACTCGTTTATCTCCTTCTTCACCTAATACGGTGTCAACTAGTTCTAACTGTCTTACTGGTGCAACTAGCTCTGCCGTAACAACTGTTGCTCGTACACTTCCTGAATGGGCCAATAGATCTACATATCGCATGACTTGTGTTTCAGTTGATCCTCTGACTAAATGCTTGGTGGAGCATTGTCCTCCATGGAAAGCTTCTGATGTTTTGGCGGAGTCACCGATTCCGGACAAATATGCAGGTTCTACAAATAGTTACTTTTCATCTATCTCAAAGAGAGAACTCGCCTATGACTCAACACCAGAGGAAACAAAGAATTCATATCAGTCTCCATTATCACCTTCAAAACAGTGTGGCGCTAGTGATGCACAGTGGGCAGCTGCTCTACAGGTAGGCTACTACTCAGTCACTGACCCTATATATATATTTATACATATGTACATTTGAAGTCATGTTGATTTTCAAATTATCAGTCTTTAATTAACTGATTCAGTAATATATAAAGGCATGTAGACGTGATGCACTTAAACTGTTCATATTTTGAAACTATTTCACTCACTCATTTTTATCAAGTACTATTCTACTTTAATGAATCAGGAACATTTTAAAATTTTACTATGAAGAGCTAACTCCATCGACCAACTAGCTAATATTTGTCAAATTTAGTCGTGATGTTAATCTATGTGCTATCTGCTAGTCCACTGATCAAATCAAGATAAATGAGTCAGTGTTTGAACCAAATATCTAACAGTTTAGAGTCAAGTACATTAACACCCAAAATTTTAACTGTGAAATTTAATAATGTCAAGTACAGACAGTTTATGAGTTGACGGTGATTAAGTAATCTTCATTTAATGACATTAACTGAACTTTTCCGTATGTTTTGTTCATTCTATATATATATCATAAGTGCTGAGACGAGAGAGATTACTTCTCATGTTTCCTCTTCTTTTTTTTCGTCATATCTATCATAGAAATTAAAATGTAATTAGATTTACATTTTAAGGCTCATTAAACTTCGTTTCAAGAATTTATATGGGTTCGAAATAAACTAATGAAGTGTGGGTAAGTTAGAAATTCAAAAAAAAATAATAAATAAGCTCCTCCTAAGACCTGGATTTTGACTACAATAACTGTAAACAATGATTTGGAATATTCTTCTTCTCAGCTCACTGTGCATATCATCATTTCGTGATGATAGGAATTAACTCTAATGAAGGTGTATGAAACAATATCCGTTAACTTTGCATTATACACAACAATTATTATGACAATTCATAAATGATGAATTTTATCACATGACTTGTACAGCATATTTCGACTAGATTATCTTATTTGGCATGTTATATTGAAAATAATTGTGATTGACTGGATATCTGGAAATTGTTTATCAGTTACTGAATATTGATACTTGTACATCTGAGTTTCTGTTTGTTTAGGGGGGGGGTGGAATATTCAAGGTCTCTGTAGAAAGTATTAGAAAGTATCAAACTGTTAATGCTTATCGACAGAATTTCATGTTGAATTTAGTTTTTGCATATAATTAAATGGTTAAAGTTATCGTTTGATGTTCATCCAGGATTCTTATAAACTCAGTAAAAAGAGGACGTTCGTCCATTGTTGTTAGTGTTGAAACACTATTAGTGTTTCAATTTTCTACGTGTCTTTTTAGGCTACTCCATCGACTCAACAACCGAAACGAATTGTTTATACTCCAAGTCGTTTTGATCCTAGTTCTACACCATCTTGGACACATATTAGACGAACAACAAATTCATCACGTACATCATTGTTTGGTAAACAATCCATTGGAACAAATTCACGGTATAAACGACAAGCTTCCTCACTTGCGTAAGTCCTAATTGTTAAAAATATTCACACTCTTAAAGTGCTCTATTTAGATACATATTCATAGCATATAGGGAGAAAGGTGTATTTACTTTATTATTTTTGGTGCCTTAATGTTTGGGGACGCTAGATCCCTAGAACTTAGTTGGAAAAGGTCCTAATTCTGTAATTTGGAATTTTATCTTTTCGCGCCAAAGACGCACATTTGACCTTTGGCTTGCATTTCCCACTCGGGAAATCCTTGACTGTCATTGGTTGATGGATTATTTTAGAACTCTGTTTTGTGGCTCTCACCAAGGGTGTTCTATCATTCTATAAATAAGCTTGAGTTGTGTGCTTATGGACATCGTATTTTCTGGGTGCCTGGGAAGTACATTCTCTCTACGTCTTATCAAGACTTCTTCCTTTAGTTAGCGGGGCCTGGGACAATCGGATTAGAATAGCCTATCGTGTCACTGAATCATTGATCTTCGTTCCGTTTACCAAGTAAGGTGAACTCGTAAGAGCTCAAACATATCACTTAATGCATTTCACCGATTACCATAATACTTAATAAACATTGATAATTTCATAGGTTAAAACCTTTGTTTTGCAACTCATAATTCAATTAGGTGGGCTTAAAAGTAAACTGTTAAATGTTCATTTAAATTACAAAGCATAGAGTACTTTTATTCAATTTTTCTTCTACTTTCGTTGATAACACTTCACTTCACTTCACTTTTAGGATTCAAGCTAGATTTATTAGTTAGTAAGATGAAATCTTCCCAGATCCCCAGCAGTTTACTAGTTTGGTTGTATGAAATCGCTGAAAATATGTAAATAATCATGCGTCAGAGCTACCTTCTGAAATTTTTCAGCCTTCTAAATAAATTACATGATCTATGTTCTTGAAATTTAAGTTTTTTGAAGCACAATAATGTAATTTCAGAATGGAAATTATTACTACTACTGTAGTGAAGGAGAACACAGGTGAGGTCAACGGAATTTTATTTAACGAAAATTACAGAGTTACTCAGTAAAATAGGAAAACCATATCGTAGCCGTTAATTTGCAAATCTTCAATCAATCATCAATCCATTGTCTGACATTCCACTATTCATGCGTTTCATACAAATTCCATTGTGTTGTAGTGTGCCGATTTACTGCGTGTTCTTAAGCTCGGTTTATAAATCAGAAGATGAACTCGTATTGATGAATACGTTTATTCGAGGCACACCACAAAGCGAAGCGGAGAAGCGAATTGGAGAAGGCTAAGAGCCAACTCTTTGGATTAAAATGCGAGCGAATGGGCGAAGTGAATTGGAGAAGGATAAGAACCAACTCTTTGGATTACAATGCGAGCGAATGGGCGAAGTGAATTGGAGAAGGCTAAGAGCCAACTTCAAAAAGATAGAGTATGACTAAGAATATATAGTCAGATAATAAGACAGACATATGACAAGCGAAATAGGTATGCACACACATGAATAAAAGCGATGAATGATTGACAAGGTCAAAAGCAAGCGATACAATTCATGTGAGTTCATGGGAAAATTAAGAGATTAACATTAAAGCGAAAAGGATGAGTAAGCGCGTAGGCGTAAACAATGCTCAGTCGTACAAGCTCATACAAACCAGATAGCAAAAAATACCAATGGTACATATGAGTTGTTGCTATACAAATGGCTTGGTTAAATAAATTAATCGAAAGGGCTTGAGCAAATTAAATGTAAGCGGATGCAAATAAATGTGGAGGCACTACAGTGTCCCCACTCTTCCTTTCTTGATCTTCCCCCATCTTCTGCTGCCAGACATTACGTTTACACTCACGTCATATACTACTTATAAGTAGCGCGCACCACACTACTACTACTTATAGGATGAAATGAACATTCGGTTTCCATTCCTCCTAATAATTCATGTATTTTATTTTCTTAAACCAACAGACCAATGCATTCATGTTCAATGCTATTGCATTATATTTTCCTCTTTCTAGTTATTCTACAGCTCCAAAGATTCCAAGACTAACTACTGGGAGTCGAGCAAACAAGTGTTCAAAGTTTGGTCGAGGTCGAGCAAGTCGATTGTCAAGGCAACGTGTTTCGAAATTGAATAGATCGAATTCTCCTATTATAAAACCACATTCAGATGATACAAATTCAGTGGAAACCCCATTGAATCCACCAAGTGGGCCTTCCACTTTCCAAGAAAACATTATCAACACAGAACTCTCTCCACTAGATTCTGATACTTCTATCTTATCAAATACAATAAGTAAGTATTCATTTATTTGAATGAATTGTAAGATTTTACATAATGGTTTGGGTTTATGAATGAATATGTCTTTCAGCGTAGAATTTCTTCTAGTTTTCTCATATAATGACGGTATTAACAGAACAAATTAGGACAATTCAACTTGTCAAACCACCACTATGTTATTAATATGAAACAAAGTGTGCTGTTACGGGTATGAGGGCGGATGCCACTTCCCGCCTGCTCACACCGTGGAAGGGTGTTTCTTGAGGAACCTGAAAAGGAAGGTTGACCTTAACGACCTGGGAGCGTGACTGCAGAGTCCAAGGGACAACTGCTTGAGGCCGGTCACGCACGGCCTTTTTATGAAAGGTTTTTCTGATTATTGGCTCCGCTCTTTTAAAGCGTTTATTGGGTATCCCTTACCTCTGGAGACGGAAATCCGTGAGGTAGGGTGAGGTGTGACATTTTTAGGGTCGACCTTTTCTAGCCCTTCCTTCCTAGTAAGAAGGAAGCATCGCTGCAGATGCTGGTTGTCCGAGGGAAACACCTTACTGCTGTCACACCCTTCTGCAGTCAGCATTACGACTTCGCCCTCAGACCTTGGGTAGCTGCTTTTAGTCTCATCATTCTCCATTCGACCTGCCTGGCATGGTGGGACCTGCAGGAACATATGTTCCAGCCAATATAGCTCGGTTGGGTCATCATGATAGGCAAGCCTGACCACCACGTCAAGGTAGCAGCTACGGTCGGGAACATGAAACCAGAATACGAAGGTTAATTGCATATGGAAGATTTTGTTGTGGCTAAAGAATGAATTTATGTCTATCAGTGGTATAAATGCTCAACTGTATCAGGAGTCTTCCACATAACAACTTCATTTAACTTCGCTATTATATGAATATGAAGTATTCGTTTCGTCCTGTTATCCGATAATAAGTTCATGTCACTCTCATGGTTTACACCAACTGAAAATTTTATCCGTGGCATAGTCAAAATTCTAATGTAATTAACAATTTCCCTACTCTGTCTAGGTTTTAAACATAGTTTATTGCAACTGGTATCTGCTTGAAATTTATTCACTTACATTATCTGGACGAAACAATAATAGAAACAACGGAGAATTGAGAGGTACATTCTCTACTATTAGTGATGGTGAAGAAAATTTGTAGCTCAGGTGGATGATTGTGGTAGAGTTCAGTTCTACCTACAGATTAGTTCCTCTACAGATTGTGGGAAAGTGTTCAGAGTATTTTCCCAACACTACCTGCATTAACAATAAACAAAAGATAAGATTACAGTAATTCTCATCACAAACAAACGTATGGCAGACATTGTTTTGTTTTTTATAATCCTCAGCGAATTCAGAGGTATCAAGCAATACTCAAATAGATTTATTGTTTCCATGAATAAACGTCAATACACTTAGGATGTTTCGTGGTATTATGGTAGCAAATTAGCAAACTACAATGGCTAATGAATAGGGAGATGGTAAATTTAAAAATGTCGGACTGTGTGGAGTAGATTTATTGTGGAAATCATTGTATTCAAACTTGTACATAATAGATTCAAAATTCAAAGAGTAGTTAAGTACATACTATGTGGAATGAAATATCCCTTCAGTCAGTCGACCAGTCAACAACAACATAGAACTTCGTACGTACTTACATCAGTTTACGTTGCCAAACCACATTAGCACATAGATGAGATTTTCACTTCAAATCCCATAATAGTGGAGGTAGTTAAAGTATTAGCAGTAATCGGAAATTGTAGGGTTAGAAACCACTATACTTTTCGTAATTAAGATTTATTTTTCAAAAAAGTGCTGATTGCTTTTTTGTGATTTTTATGTTATGGTCTATGCGAATTACATTGAATATTTCAATCATTCATCATACGGCAACTGGTAAAATTGCTAATCATGTAGACCATGTTCTTCAGGTTTAGTATTTGTTCGATAAACTCTCCAGTATTATCTCAAATAATATTGCAGTTGTATACGAATATTTAATCTCCTCATTGCTTTTTCTGTTTGTTTCAGATTCACCTAAATCTGTGGAAGAAACATTTGTAGCCTTACCAGAGAAAGTCACTGATGACAGTCCCATAGTTCATGGAGTTGATTCAGGCGATGAAAGACAAAATGTTTGGAATGGAAAAGACTATTCTGATCATGATTCACCATGCACTCCTCCGTTACGGAATGCTGTAAATAATGACTCCCTTGTAACACCTAGTGGTGGTATCTTATCATCCAGTATTGTCACTTCACCACCAAAGCAATTGGAGAATCATACAAAATCTTTCGAGACTGAATTATCCGACCTTAAAGTTTTAAACATTCCAGAGAAGAGTACTTCAACAGAAACTCAAAATAGTGTACGACTTAAACCGCACCAATTTCGACGAAAAGCTCGTGGCCGAAGAGATAAGTGTAGAGTTTCAACATTTAATAGTTTATTTCAAAATCCATTGCGGAAGTGTTCAGATCCAGTAAGTTTTTTGTAGATCAGTTTATTAAAAGAATATAATCCGAAAATCACTAATTGTCTTTTCAAATGAATTTTAAGTGTTTCAGTAATATGAAACTTATAGTAATATGTGAATCCATCATTTACTGACTGGGTTGTTAATAATACTCTAACTACTCTCTATCTGGCACCGGACTACTGTTTAAGCCGTAATTTTATTTTGCAACTGTGTTGTTATATAAACGGCCACCAGCATACCTGCTTCGGTTTGTGCACAAGGACAATATTCCAGCCCACTCACAAATTCAGTGTTTTGTATGGTTCATAAATATTCCGTTATCCCTTCGTACTAATGTTTATGTGTTTAAATTAATATTTTTGAAACCATGAATCGATCAATGTTAGACTACCATTGGAAACCTGAAAGCACTGGACAGCCGTTTCATCCTGGTATGGGACTCTTCAGCAGTGCGCATCGGCGACTCCTGCACTCCGCAGGATTCAAACCCATCCAGTGCTTCCAGGTTTCTAATGGTAGTCTAACATTGATCGATTCACGGTTTCAAAAATTTATAACTTAACAATCTTCACAACCCCGTAATTTAAATTATTAATGAATAAAGCACATATATAAGCGATGAAACTGATTCGTGTTTATTCTTTGTGAGCGCACTAAAAATCTAAGGAGAACCAAGAAATAACCAAAGTATTTTTGATTCTAGGCTACCACACAGATTTGGAGCTTCTGTTCCAGTTACAAGATTCAAAAAAGCAGTCCACATCAAAGCCGGTGCTACTAAAAATTTATTAATAATATTTGCCTTTCTATACATTTTTTGGATGTATGTTCCTAGTTTAAAAATCCAGTGACTATTTTGGGTAAAACTAAACACAATTCACTTTTCTACAGTTTATCACTAACGAATTTGTCAAACATAATATTAAAGAATGTGTAGTACAAATAAAATTAAGTTGCATATTTTTCAAAAGGGATTCTATTAACTGTTACCCCTCAAGTCTGCTAAATCGGTTTATGAAATCTTCATCTTGCCAAAATCAATGGCCAAATTGTTCATTTTCATATTCCACCATATTTGTTTGTCATCCCGCTTAGCAGAAAGATGAGCTGCGTACTTAACCATCACATTACTGAGCTAGAATATACCGATGACATAGTTCTATTCGGTCAAGACGCTGACAAAATGCAGAGTCTTCTGACTACCCTACGCAAAAATGCAAGCATGTTCGGGATGCGGTTCTCCCCGACGAAATGCAAAATGTTGCTTCAAGATTGGGTTGCATCGTCAGCTGAACTAGTGATAGGGAGTGAAGTAGTTGAGTGTGTAGACCGCTTCACTTATCTCGGCAGTCTGATCAGTGCTGATGGCCTGGTGACTGACGAAATCTCAGTGAGGATACAGAAAGCTCGATTGGCTTTTGCAAACCTGCTTCACTTATGGCGTAGGCGTGATATCCGTTCGCTAACCAAAGGACGAGTGTACTGCGCAGCAGTTCGCTCCGTCCTACTATATGAGTGTGAAACATGGCCCTTAAGAGTAGAGGCCATTCGTAGGTTACTAGTCTTTGACCGTCGTTGTCTCCGAAGCATTGCTCGTGTATCCTGGAACAACCGTATATGCAATGCTGTCGTTAGGAAACGAGTTCTAGTTAGGGATGGCAAATTAATAGACGAAGTTGTGAAACTTCATCAGTTGAGGTGGTTGAGACGAGTGTTAAGTATGACTAACCACCGACTGCTACGACGAGCTATTTTTTGTGGTGTAGGAGTAGGTTGGAAGAAAGCTAGGGGTGGCCAAACCAAAACATGGCACAAATGCATGAAGTCACTGACAAGTGGACTGAGTCATGTTGATAGATGTAGGCTATCTGATTGGGTTTCGCGAGACGATAGTAACGGATGGTTAGAGACCTTGAACGACATGGCTAAGAATCGTTCGCAATGACGCAGATGCATCCACTGTTTGTTTGTGTTCTCTCAAATTCTAACCTTCTGAATTCCTCATGATCTCTAACTTCCTCATCCTAAATTTATCTTACTGACTTATACTTCTCGAATCATATCTTCGCTCCCTAATCTTCTCCATTACTTCTAATACTTCTACTATCACTATCACTCTTGGATTTGAACTGACAGTTGCGTCTCTGTGCTGATGTGTTGTGGCAACCTGAACTGATGTACTTACGTACGAAGTTATGCGTTTTATCTGTCTCTGTCTCTCTCCATCACATGCATTTATCGCAGATTTCCCGAAATACTTAATCCTAATATTTCGAGAAATGTGTTGAGGAAATACAATTACAACTGATAACAACTAAACGACACCTTTTCGTTTCTGTATGGAATTATTATTTGATGTTATAGTTTACCATTGTAATTTATTTTATCATCTCTACTTCTTGTCTTGTTACTTTCCTCTGGGTTGTGGCAATCGTGACCAATAATCATTCCTGCCAGTTTATGCCTTGTTTATATTTGGCTGACAAACTTGCTTTTTAGTTAGATTATATTCATTTAATACTCTTTTTCAGCCTCTCACAAAATCACAGGATCGTCCTATCCGAACTGCTCAAAGTCTTCAACAAATACCTAAGGTCGAAAATAACGCAGATGACCACCAAACTGTTGCGGTTGTCGCAGATAATTCTATTAAAGGTTCTCGACCAACTCGTTCCGTACATAAAACTGGAAGACGAACAGGATTAAAGTCAGATGCTGCTCATGATTCTACAAAAGGTGAACCTGTCACTACTCAGTCTTCTAATATAAAAGTAGAGACTATCTGCTCCCCAGCATCAGATATAACTGAACCGATGACGTTTAGTGAAAGAGCAGAACTTCTTCGAATTATTTGTACAGATACTACTCCTGTGAAGTACACTACATCCACTACCTTAAATGTAGTCGCAAATAATCACTTTTTACAGTCAGAAAATTCGGTATTTAACAAAGAAAGTTTTGGTAAACTGCAACAGCATGCGTCAGTTACGTTACGATCATTACCTTCTTCTCCATCATCGCTTGATTCCTCTCTTTCCTCTTCCACTTCAAAATCTTCACCTGAAGAATCACTGCTTTTGAAGTCAAAAATGAATGATATGAAAGGTTGTGATAAATTCCAGGATGATTTTTCTCAAGGTGCAAGTAGATCCTTATTTTCCAGTTCCTGTATCCAGAACACTGTCAATACAGACTTATCTCCTGCAGATTTTTCAGATTCTATTAAACACTCTCCAAATATTTCGTGTATCAATAAAGTTCATACTACTTGTAGTGTCTCTCCGTCACCGATGAATACATTGCCAGTTGGACCACCACCTCTCCTTCCTTTATCTAGTAAATCGACTGGTCAAAAACGATGTTCTTCCTCTTTTCCTCCAACATCTACTGAAAGCGATCACACCTCAGCACTTCCTCCTACCTTGATGACTGTGAGTTGATTTTATCGTTTTATGTATTGCTAATATTCAATGAATCCTTCTATCATCCATGTATCTGTAAGAAATTTTTATCAAGAGTCTGTTCCAGGAATCAATTGCATCTCAAACTTTCTGTATTGTTCTTAATTCTAACTTTAATTACCGGAAGTAATGAAAAGTAATAGATAAATATCATGCTATATTTTACCTTATTCTTTAATTAATCTGTTTTAACTAATTTTATATGAGATCTAAGCCTACCATTAGTCAGTGCTATTCTGTTCGCCGTCATAATAGCGGTTATCTATAATAACTCAACACGATTTACCATCTTGTAGAATTATCACTTAAGTTACCAAGTTAGCGAGTTCTAAGTTACAATTATACCATACTAACTAGTATATTTTACTCATTATTTTGACTATCATAGATTTGTTTTGATTACAAAACTTCAAAAAATTCACCAATTTGATTGCTCATATTGAACTAAATACTTAGTACAATGATAATCCATTTCTAGACATGTGTAAACGCAACTACTAGTTTCATCTGGAGAACTACATTCCTAATGTACTGTTTCCATCATTTTAGTCCAAACAGTCAGAGTCGGTGTCAACTTCCAGCAGTTGCTTCTTCACAAATTCACAACCATTATCATCTAAGCCGACCAGTGATAAAAATGGAGGATTGCGTATTACAATTAAACTAGGCGGGACATTAAACGAAGAACCTCTTGCTTCTTCTCTTTCACCTACATCTTCCTCTTCCTTATCCTCGTCAGAGTCAACTTCAGGGGATGAAGACAATCCTACAACTCATTACCAACAGCCACTAAGTTCAACTCAGTTATTCAAGAAGGAGCCGAATGAAAATAGTGTTGTAAACTTGGTGGATAAGGACAGGTAATTGACTATATTATTTTTGGCTCCATGTTTAATATAATCACGATGTTTCAGACTGATAATCGACTTAATATTCAAGGGAAGTTTACGATCAAATCTGTGTGTTACGACAGATGTGAGCTATAAACTGATATGATATGTGATGTATATATTTTTTCCAAGTTCTTGGCAAACGTATGACAATAGTCCTTAAGTTATCAGTAAGGCTTATTTTTTGTATCAAATTATTCGAGCATCATGTATATTCATAATAACTGTGATCCAATCGAAAATTACCCTTTCTGTTCCCGGTTCTGTTCTTGTTGTCACACTTGCATATGTATTAGGACCCAAACCGTGAAATTGGCATTCTTTAAGTAAGTTGCACCGTCACATCGGATTAGTCGACTTAGGTCAAGTGAAAAAAACACTTAAATGCTTACGTGTGTTTTGATAAACAGCATCCATGGTGATGCAGTTTGACTGTTAATAACCAAAACATTCAATCCTCAGTTTGGTTACATGAGACTAATAGTGATCTCTCACAGACTTGGATTGTCTTTAAGGATCTCAATGTGGAGAAGGATTCAGCGGACTGAGCAGTGCTTTTTATATTGATGTACGCTTTATTTAGTGTTGCGGATGTGGGGACTACCGATACTCCTCATTTATTTGTGGGAAATTTAGTAAGTGTTTAGACCACTGAAAGCATAGCATATTTAGCATCTACTGGTGTGTAGATCGTAGAAAATAGACTTTTGCGGTTATATATAGTCCGATTTTAGATCAGTTCATCTTCTAAACGTTTCGTTTGTTTATTCAAGAAAAATGCCACTGATGATTTATTATTGTAATATGATGAATGAAGACGTAAATAAATGCTGTAATAAGTGATTTACTTAAAGTCGACATAGATTACTAGCAAAATTTGTACACCCTATCCTCAAACTTCCATTTGCATGAATGACATGGCTCAAAACCGTTTGCAGTGGTGCAGGTGCATTCATTCTTTGTGTTCTCTCAAATCCTAACCTTCTGAATTCCTCATCACCTTTATCTTTTCTTTTAAGTTTATTTCACTGGATTCTACTTCTTGAATAATATCGTCGAACCCTAATCTTTCCGATTACTGCCAATACTACTACTATGGGATTTGAAGTGACAACTGCATCTGTGCTAATTTGGTATGACAACTTACTTACTAAGTCTTATGTTATTGTTGACTGACTGACTGACCATTTGCAAAACAAGCAGATTCTTGGCTATCATCTTTCACCTCTCTTTCACTTTGATCGTATCATGCATCCATAACCGACCCTCGTCTCTTCAGCAGTAACTTTTGTGCAACCACTCCACTGCATACTACTTATAAGCAATATGGCGAGCAGTGTAAACCACAGTAAGAAAAGATAAAATACACAGTTTATGCATAGTTTAGTTGGGAATCCTGATCACTTAAAAAAAACATAGTACTGTTATTTCCCTGTTCAGCAATGGTTTGTAGATCGTTTCGTCAAACTTTCTCGTTTACACGTAGTCCTTAACTTTGTTATTGGTACGATCAAATCAATAGGTTTCCTAATGAGTTTGTCTTGATTGAATAATTTTAGTAGGAAGACTTAACATCATCTTTTTAGAAGACTACACACAGTACCAAGGATAAGTTCATATAAAGCTAAATCTCAAATTAATAAACTCACTATATGCGATTTAATACTGTATATCTATTAAATACTAGGTTTTGATTCTACATTTACTGAATCTTCACTGTTTTTTTCTCACATATTTATGACTAATGCAATTTATTATTTGACTTAATTCTAAATAAGAAACTAGATAGAAATTCTCACTGATATTTAAAAAAAAATCATATTTTGCATTTTATTAAGTCAAAATATTAAAATGTGATTGATTCTAAACACTTCTCTTTTATTATTTATTTTACAGATCAGAGAGTCATTCTGTATCATTGTCTCAATCGACAACATTTGCAGAAAAAACACCAAAGCTGTAAGTTTATTAATCAATTTTAATTTCGGTATTATAAACAGGTATTTTAATAATGTATAATATGATTAGAAATTATTAAGAGTAAAGTATATTTACTGCCTTAACGTGGTGGTCAGCTTTGCCTATCATCATGGCTCAATCGAGCTACATTGGCTGGAACATATATTCCTTTAGGTCCTACCAAGCCAGGGAGGTCGATTGTAGACTAAAAGCAGAAACTTAAGGTCTGAGGGCGAAGTACTGCTAACCGCAGTGATATTTGCCAGTCAGATAAATTTAAAGGTTGGGGAGAAGCAGTGGGTTTCAATAGCATCTACCAAACCTCATCCCATCTGGCTCTGAACATGATAAGGACAGGCTGATAAGAAGGTTTCTTAATGATCGCTGACAGTGGGGGGTAGCGTAAGCAAAAGAGATGGAAAAGGCAGCGGCAATAGGTAACAGTAGATCACTATTCAGACTGATCAAGGAAACGGGTATTAGGAATCTGATTGTAAGTGAGACTCTCAGAAAAGCATGGTTGTATGATTTATTCTCAGTTCAAGAGATTGGACCGATGGGCAGAGCACTTTAGTGAGTAGTTCAACTTGCCTTCTGTTACCTACGAATTGATGTCAGTCCAACGACTTTTAATAAAGTTGAAAAGACTATCTAAATCCAAGTTGAGAGAAAACAGCAGGTCCTGATAGGTTAACACCTAGAAATTTTAAGTTTGGTGGTCCAGGTTTAGCAGTTTGATTGACTGAGATCGTAGATGGGGTCTGGGAACTAGGCTTAGCCCCATCTGGTTGGTCTCGATCCCTGATTGTCGCAGCTTATAAAAAAGGACAAAAGTCCTCTCATGACAGTCACAGAGGAATCAGTTTACCTAGTAGTGTCTAAAATGTTAGCCTCGATAATACGTAGACGCCTTACTAGAGCTCGTGAAGAGCACACTAGAGAAAATCAGGGTGTGTTCAGACCTAGACATGGATGTATAGAACAAATATTAACACCCCGTCCAATAATAGTTGTATTCTTCAACCTTATGGCGGCATTTGACTCTATTAATTTGTAGCACTAACATCTATTTACAGCGTAACTCATGACCTAATGTATGGATATGTCTATTTACTATAATAAGTTGGATTTTTTTATTATCCTCATTTTGTCAGTAGTATTTGTCTGTAAAATTCATTGATATCAACTCTAAAGGTATGACACTGTATATTGATAGCTCTTAACGTTGCATAAATCGATGAACTAATCTGTAGTTTATTCTTGTTTTTCAAATAATACACTTCACATTTTGAGTTCAATTTTGTTGTTTTTCTATTCGCTTACTTGGTTTTACTTTTATTTAGTGTTATTCGCCTTGGAAATGGTCCCATTTCAACATCTCAACCACAAACTGTTGCAACGACACATGTTCAGTCGGTTAGCCAAAGTTTACCAAATTACTCGGAAAATTCTACTCCGTTTATCGATAAAAAGCATTCAAGTTCATTACTGACCCCACCACCTCCTTTACAATTAACTATTTCTCGCGATAGACTAAAATATAGAGGTCGTACTGCATCACAGGGAAGCGATTCAAATGCATCAAATACAAGTTCAACAATGACAGGAAGTCTTTCTAGTAGTGAAGAAGAATTTGTTCATTCTCATATTAGTCCGTCAGGAACTGTGGGTTTACCACCACCTCCTTCTTTAGAACGTTTGCCACCTCGACCAGGTCATACTGGTTTCACAATGAATAAACCTACCACTCAAGCACAATCGATTCATCCTTCTGAGTTGCCACCTCCACCCCTAACAAGCAGTATAAAGACATCGGATGGCATTTCGCCGTTAAAACAGATAGTTTCACTAAGTAAAATTATGCCCAATGGTCCTAATTCTGCTGCTACTCACTGTCATCTTCCACCTCTTCTTCCATTATTTTCGGTTTCGGAGCAAACAGAGTCTATCTCACCATCATCTAAGTCAAGTCCAGTTTCAACAGAGCCGTCTTTACATAGTAATAAGCTGAAATCAAGTAAGCATTATTGGTTTTGTATATTTGTAATGCACTAACGTGAAAATTTGCATCGTTAATCATCTAACACTTAAAAACACGTCAATGCAGAATGATTAAGAGAACGGGTATTGTCAGTTATTCACATCATAACATTTTGTAGACAATTCTCATGTTTTTCATTAAGTCTCCTTGGTGAACGCTTGACCCTATTCCCTAATGGCTTCTAATAATCCCAGGTTCAATCAACACGGCAACTTGAACACCAGAGAACGGATGTGAAGTATGAAAATGACGCTTTACTCCATGGTTAGTTTACGGTCGGAAAATGGGGGTGTTTGTAGAGCCTATATATATCCCTAGACTTTTAGGAGTCTAGATCCTCGCCAAATATTGTAGCGGTATGGGTGAATATTCAGTCAAAGTCTTAACACGTGATTCTGCCTTTTCTAGATACTTCTGCAAAGGTTCTATTCAACTCTGACTAGATAAAAGGTTTTCTGAGCCCTCTATAGACTACCAAAGAACACTTTGGAGCTCCCCAACACCTTTCGAAAAAATAAGACTTTAGATCTATTTGCAGCGTAATAATTGGTTTTCGGTGATGTTCCATCTTTTTAGGTGTTTCCTTACCGAGTTCTTATTTTGCCCTTTGGTGTCCTTATAGGTTTTCATCATTAGAGTATATGTAGTCATCTCAAGTGGTAAACTCACGTGTCTATCTTCCATGTTCGTTGCATTTTTGTATTTATGAGTTTAGTTAATATGTCTGATGCACGTCTCAAACTTTTCCCACTCTCTTGAACAGTTATAGGTTCCCATCGATTTTTCCCACGATATGATTTGAGGATCACTTTATCACCCACATTAACGCTTCAACTACACGGATTTCCCTGTGGCCATTCGTGTTCTAGGTTGCAACATAGCATTAAAAATAGTCTAAACACTCCTTCCAAATATGACCTCGACAGAGGAGTTTCCATCTAGGACACTGGGGTTGAAAGTGGTCTTATAGTCTGTTAAGAGCTTTTCGATTACCTGGTAGTGCTCGTTTAAACGTGTCAAAAAAGTGTTCTGTCTGTCTGTTTGATTGAATGTGATAGATTCTTGGACATGGGCGTGTTATTTCCTTTTTGGTAAATAAGTGCTGAAATGACTCAAATGAATAGTTAACCAATTTCGGTCACTACGGTGTCAGATATTCCACAACAGTTGAACAAATCAAATAACTGGTAGATTGTTTCATTGGCCAATATACTTTGACATGGCTTATATTTCTAGCCATTTGGTGAATGCATTCCTCAATGAATAAAAACATTTTCTCTTCTACTGGGCCAGAAAAATCTCACTTCAAGTAACACAAACCGATTCAGTCATTAGTATTATAAAAAACTGTCACTAGATTAGTTAAGATGAAGTAAAATTAGAGTGTTGTTTCAGCAATTAATAATTTAGCTAATTTATTGATGATAATGTAACTCATATACTACACTTGCATGAGGTTCCAGTGTTACTTACCTTGCTTGGGCAGTGACTTAGTGGTTGAATGATTCATCGTCTTACAACCACTCGATCGCTGACTCAAATGTTGTTCTATATTGCCTGTATCTAAAGTATGGCTCAAAGCGTAGTATATAAACTTGTACTTAATCGATGATTTACTCTGTCATTTTAGTTCATCGCTACCCGAACTTTCCAAACCGATGTAGATTATTTGAACAAGTATCTTAATGTTTAAAAGTTAAATATATCAATGAATAAGTCATTACTTTATCGCAATTATTGTGCAAATAAATCGTCTATGGTTAGCAATATGCATATATAATAGATGGTACAGTATTTTTGTTTTGCAACCAGCTTTTTGTAACCAAATATCGTGTTTTTAATTTTTCGGAAATTTAACCGAAGGTATAGAGTATGGTTTTTTGATCAGTCTAATATTTTTTCTCAAATTTAGACTCACGTATTGCTGATAGAAAGAAACGAAAATTTCCTGATCAACATTCTCGTTCACCTTTAGCCAAGCGAAGAACATTAGTCCAGTCTTCTATGATTCCTTCATCTAAAACTGAAACAACTGTTAAGCGACCACGTGCTACAGTGGATTCTGTTTTTACAGATGATGATAGTGATACTAAAAACGATGAGAAATCTCCTCTGTTATCTCTTGCAGCCTCATGTTCAAATGATTCAATTGATAATCAAAATTCTTTTCATCCAACTAACAGTCAAAATGTATATACATCTAATCCTTCCACAAATTCATTAGTTTCTTCTCCGAATTCTACTTTATCTCCTTTGAAAACTCAACCACGAATAAAACACACTAGTTTGTATAACAAAAAGTCTTTATATCATCCTGTTACTAAATCATCATCACATACTACTACTACTACAACCAGTAGTAGTACAAAAACTTCTACATCACTTAAAAGTAGTAAAACTCGTGGTCGATCCAAATTCATACCGACTTCACCAATCAAAACTCCACCAAGTATGAACATCTCTTCAAAAATAGTTCAACGTGAAACAACTGCTTCACAAATTGTTGTTGAATCTGCTGGCAGCTCTTATTATTTTGTAAGTCAAAAAATTGGTGATACAATATCTGGTCCCTATTTTTATTTGAATGCTATTGCACTATTTCGATCTTCATGCATTTTCACTGATCACCTGGTAATTTCCTATATATATATATATATAATATATATATATATATCGTTTCTAATCTCACTAAATTATGTACTTGTTATCATGTTAGAAGACTTCAAAGCTCAATAGAGCAGCTTTAAATTACCTGAACGCACTCATCGTTTCGATAACTTCAGTAACCAAATAACATATATTTTACCATGTCCTAAAATCAAATGTCTTCTAATGATAAGAATTTTTCACTGTACTTCACAGGTTCACATCTCATTGTAGAGTTGCTGTTCACTTATTTGAGTGATCCGTCTAACGTATCACTAGACGCACGATTTAGAACTCGGTATCTATAAATCTTATGTAACAAATTTACCTAAAAACTAGTTACTGTGACCTGTAATTTATTCCTGAGTCATGTTTATTCTCTACGTATATCAATCATAAAATCTATGCTTTTTGAATGAACATAATCCTCAGAATAATTTTTGTTCTTTTTTATTGTAATTTTATCAACTGAACAGCAGATTATTTGGCATTTTGTTTTGATTCAAAATTCCAAACAGAAATCGTTAAACAGCAACTAGTCATTAATACTACCTTTTTTTAATTTCTTCTACTGGTCAGCTGAATATCATGAACTGATAAAATCTTAGTAGTAGTAGTAGTAGTAGTAGTATTAAGAATTTTCAAAAATCAGACACTATAGTTTGTGATATGAAGTAAGATAAATTTATTACTAGGTACTAATGAAAACTTGACAATATTTCTCTGTGATATCATTTCTAAATGGGTCTTTATTATCAATGATGTTTGTTTGCAGTGAATTATCTTTTATATATCATGATTTTTACTATTTTTAAATGATTAATCTTAGAATAATGATGGTGAGCAAATATGGTTATGTCCTATTTGTTTGCTGGAAGATGATGGCAATTTAATGATTGGCTGTGATAATTGTCAAGACTGGTATCATAGGTAAGTTATAGAATAAACAATCATATTGATGATCATTGTGTAGTGAAGATTTCCACTCTTTTTTTGTTATAATGGGTGATAGGACGCGACATAGTCTCTCTTATACCATTCAATCCCGATAATCTTATTGGTTGCATGGTAATCATCTATCGATGTAGACTGAACTCCTCTGTTCTTATTTATGTTATCACCTTTATTCTACCATGTATTGAACTTAACTTGCTTTAAATAGTGAACAGTTTCGTCAAGACTAGTTGTTAGCCTGCTGGGAACATCGTTTGTTAGTTGTCTGATAACTGCTTCAACCAGTGAGTGACATGTCGCTTTCGGCATTTCTCAACTCATATTTAGCATTAAATTATTCACACAAGCAAGACGTTACTGGATTAGTCCAACGTATAAACATCCGTGTTGTTTTCTCAGCATTTCTAGCTGCTCTTTCCAGAAAACAAGGTGATACTGACGAAGCATGTTGTGCCACTATAACCATTCAAAAGTTAGCGCAGAGATCACATTCAAAAATTTTTCGACGTTATTAAGTAGCAATAAATTTGAATGTTATGTTTTTTCTCGCGTATTATCTACCAATAATTATTTTAAATAGTTTAAAGTTAATCTAAATTATTATAAACTTTTGTACATTTTCTAACCTTGTTCAGTCCTCATAAGGCTCATAGAGTGACCAGAAAACTAGATGTTTCTGGTAGTTCGTTTCTTGGTTGTTATACAGGGCAACAAGCGGAGTATTATATTTAGACAAATTTAGAAAATTGGTTTTGTATGGTAATATTTTAGCCTGTGTCCATGCAGAACACACAATTCCATATACTTCATAAAATAAAGTCAGTTTAGGTGCTAAATTGCTAAAATAAATCTCCCATTACAGTTTACCCGAATCTATTTTTTGTACATTCTTGTTTTTAAAAAACGGCTTATTCACAGTGTCATTTTTATTTTTTCTTTCTCTGTGCTTTTACAGTACATGTTTAGGACTTTCCAAGGCTCCAGAAGTTCCACAATGGTTTTGTCCGAAATGTTCACAGAAACCATTACCATCAAATACACTTATAAAATTGACAAATAAAGATCGTGTTCCTCATCCTACAAAAGGCAGCTCACATGGTTCTTTAAATTCTCGCTCTAATGTTAAACATTCAAAACGTGAATCAGGGTCTAAAAATCCAAAACATAAACCTAAACGATGATAATATTTTCAACAATCATCTAAACCGCTAGCTGCCTTTGATTTTGTTTTTCTCTTTGTACATAATTGTATATTATATCAAGATAAAAAATATTAATTTTACTGATTTTTAATGTTGGACTTTCAGTTGATGAAATTTTGGACTACTATATATTTGTTTTGTAAAACAATATCAATGCATCAGCTACAGAAAATGGTGGTTTAATGTAGGGTAAATTGTTAGTGGTTCATCACTGTAGTTGTGATATTTTCATGATATGAACCTGAAATTTTCTAAATCCTTACGTAATCAGCTGAGTTCACACTGTATAATACGTCTTGAAGCTTATTTCTTTGGATTTACTCAGTGTTATAGATGTATTTATTGTATACGAATTTTTAAACTTGTATGAGATCTGTAGACATTTAGTATCATATTCATACAGCTCTCATTGTATACATCAACGCTTAACAATTTAAAAATAAGTCATAAGAAATCAGTAGGTCCTAGGTTGGCGTTTCAACCACAGTCTCATCATTCCGGTGTCTCTATGAGCGTACAGTCAAAGTGTCTAAAACAGATTAGTACAATAAATATGTGAAGTTTTACGCTGTTATTTAGAAACTAAAGGGAGACTGAAGGAATGCAATTATGATCAGTTCTGATCCATGCCATTCAAAATGTGGTAACAAAATACTAAAATTACAACTTCGCAAATCATTAGCATTGTTGGAGCATGGTGGTTGACAAAGTGGCCGCGTGGGCAGAACTATCGGAAAAAGAGGGAGCGAAATCCCTTTTTGAGGGATTTTGAATGGAACCTTGTAACTATGACTGCAGAATACGATAGACAATCTCTTGAGTAACTAAGAGGCCGACACACAAAACTTTGATCTGCTGTATAAAGCAATGTGCCAACTTCAAGAGATGCGATTATATGAAATCCATTTACCAAGAGTGTGTCTACGCTCCAGGTAACCCCTCAGTAACGCAAGTTAGTGTTTTTTCAGCTCCCCGTGTTGGATCCTCGATACCCAGAAGCCCAGTTCATTTGCTATACACACATTCTTTGTCCTCTCGATTTTGTAGACTGAAACCTTGTCATTAGGAGGAAGTTAGTGGGACTTCCGTGTCAGCGGGTGCGTACGCGTGGCTAGTGCGTAAGCATTTCCAATGCTTGGACATTTGCCGTCGGTCAAGTGAAAAATTTTCGGCGATACACTGGTCTATAATCAACAATAAGAACTCGCCCTCAAGTAGCTGCTTTTAGTCTGAGTACTCTCCAAATGGCCTGGTGATATCCAAGTAACTTATTGTAGTCATTATGACTTAAGCCACCATGATTGACGTATCGTGGATATATGTTTGTTCATGCGTTACAGACTGTACATAAGTTTCACCACCTCGAATGTTAGTTACTTTATTCTCATTCGTATTTCCGTTTGTATTCACTTCATGTGCTCTTGTCTTTGTGGTCATCGTTGCACGATAATAAACTGTAGTCGGCGGTTCATATCGTCTCCTGAAAGTTTTTTACGGCTGGGAGTTAGAATAGTTATCGGGACGAATGACATACGAAGCATTGGAATTATTTCTTAAATAACCCACCAAACGCCTACAAATGAAGCCGAAAACTGTTTGTTAATATATCGGTTTTTTAATAGATGTTCGAATATAAGCATCGTTCATTTTTTTCTCAAGAGGTCTTTTTCGGACCACGTCTGATATGATTTTAATGACACCGACAATGAAAGCAGTCCAACTACGTCTGTAAATATTTTCCAACTTGTTTCGTAAGAGCTAAGTGAAAGTAAGATATCAAATAAACAAGGGTTTTGAAATAACGTCTCCGGTATTCTAGTGAACGCATAAAAACGTGTTGAATCCTGAAATGATTAAGGAGAATATTCTATCACAGAGCTGGAATGTCTCACTTTGTAGTATAATATTAACGAATCACTCGAGCATCCGTGTATATTCCACGGATCGTTTCTGGTGTAGAGATTTAGATATGTACGTGTTCTATTGTTTGCAGTAATTGACGATCTCAGTATAAGATGACATTTTTTGTATTCTGTACTAAGTGGCGCTGTTAGAAAAATGTACCCATATATAAGTGGCAGATCGTTGTTATTGTCTGTGAATGCATTTCGTCTGCACTATGTAATCTTATTATAAAGTTAACACTGTCATCCGTTTGCATCAACTAGTTTTTTCCGCTCAAAGACTTCAAAAATAATTAAATTTTTCTCAAGTTTGATAAAATCTGAGGGTTTTGGTACCTTAGGAAATATAAATATTCATTTAGAGTAAACTTTCAGTTGTAATGTTGACTTTTGGTCAGTTTCACAGCCAGAGGTGGTACTTTCGCTTTAGCAGCTCCAAATAGACACTAGAAAGTGTCCAGAGGTGAGATCTGAAATCAGTTCTATGACCAAAGTGTAGACCTAATGAAGAGAGCATCTAGTCAATGGACATTTTCCCTGTAAAAATATAGTTATTTCGGAGCTGACATTCCAACGACTCATAGCATGCTAAACTAACTTCGATACACCTCATAACATTTTATTGAGATCTTTCTCAGCCAAAAAGGTGGTAAAGTACCCAGATATTGAAGGCATGGCATTGTAAAATCCGATATCTTTATCACGAGCTAGTGTTAGCCAATTTGATTTCTTCGCGCTCGATTCTTGTTCTTTTGGTACGGTTCCAGGTGTTCGGTAATGTCCAATGGATGGAGGTCTAGCCACTCGACCGTCTAATTCTAGTCAGTTGGCAGTTGGTTGTGAGTTTGTATGTCTCGGGATTTGAATGAGAACGTTTGTTTCAGGGTAGTAGGGTTTCTGGATACTAGCAGCTGTCACATTACTAGACCGGAGATCAGTTAGTTGCAATGTGGAGAGTAATAAGGGTAATAAGTATAAATTAAAATGATAATATGAATAAACTTTCAGGACTGAGTAATATATAGGTGAGTTTAGCTTGCTAATTGGTAGTGAAGATTGTGAGAGAGGACCGAAGTGTAAGCAAGGAAGAGGAAACAGAGATAAAATGCGAGATAGATTAAGTGAGTGATCTGAGGAGATGGCAATGATAACAACTAGCAGGTCTCAAGATACGCATCATAAACAGCTTGTCCAAGAGGGAGATGATAATCCTTATGTGAATACGTGATTGTCAAGTCTCTTCATAAGGCTGTCTACTGAGTGGGCTGTGGTCACCTCGACTGGGAGAGCATTCCAAGTTGCGATGGCTCGCAATGAGAAAAAGTGTGCACGAATCTGAGTATTTGCTCTCTGATGTGCAATCTTTTGAGGATTGCCTCGAGGGGAGTGGTGGTAATGCATCGGTAAGATGCTCAAATTGGGATGGTTTGGCGTGTTTAATATGGTGTACGCCATAATCAGGTCACCTCTGATTCTCCTGTAGCTCAGTGGGAATAATCCCAAGAGCTGAATTCCATCGTCGTAGGGTTTATTTTTCAACCCTATCACCCATTTGGTTGCTCGTCTCTGCTCTTGATCCAAGAGATTAATGTCTCTTTTAAGCAGAGGGGGTGCGATGACGTTGTGAACCTCCAAGTATGGGCGCGCGTACGTCGTAAACAGGGTTAAAAATAATTTCGAGGTGATAGCACCAAGCTGTCTTCTCATGAAGTGAAGAATCGCATTTGCCTTGGCCGCATACCCTACATAGTTTGGACTGGTGTGGAGGCTTTCAATCGTTATTAAACCGAGATCGCGCTCTGAGGAGACATTAGGGAGCGGACTTCCATTGAGAGTGCAAAGAAATCAGTTAGTTTATACTAGGTTTTGAAGGAGATTTCAGATATTGGATAGTAAAACCGTACCCAAAAACTTGATAAGAGCGCAAAGCTATCAAATGTTCATACAATCTCCCAAAAAAGCTATTGTTTATTGAATATCGACATTTGATGTAGGACGTTCTCAGCCTGACCTTCAGGCGTGGTTTGTACTTATTTTGGAATAACCCCGAGTATTTATTTTATTGAGTTTTCGCAGGTAAGGGTAAATGCATTTTCAGGTTGATTTTCTCGGAAGTGATTTAGCTGAATTATGTAGATTGGGTTATATGTTAATCCTTGTTTACATCAAAGTGTCTTTCGTACAAAATTCCAGGCTGTACGTGTGATCCTGAACTAAGAACCTTGTTCTACCTGTAACCTAATTATTCATCTACTCTATCTTGTAGACTTTAATCCTAGGTAGAATCTCTAATCCTTGACTAATTGACCGATGCCTTAAGTGAATTCGACATCTTAACAAATAAGTGCTGCTGCAAGCAAAATTGGTAGTAATTAACCGCCGAACAACAATTATCAAATTAATCCATTCTTTATTTCTGGTTAATTTTCTCTGTTTTAAATTGCGATGATTCATATTTATGGTTATGTGTACTAGGTCCATTGTTATTTGTATTTCTGTCTGACGAATTAAAAATGTCCTCTTGTACACAGGATATTTGTGGTAGCTTTAAAAAATGAACTTTCAAAGTACAAAACGTCAGTAGGTTTTCGTTTATAGGCGTCTCATAGAACAGCCTATTAAGCAGTGTTAAGATTCAACATAGGATACTAAATAATGATATCTAATCTGTTGATAGAGTTGCAAATCTTTATCGGCTGAGGTGGTTAGAACATGTTTTTTGTGTCACTAACCACCGTCTATCTCGATGGATAATATTTATTGGTGTAGGAGTACGCGATAAGCTAGGGGCGGCTAAACCAAGACGGCATCAGTCCGTGAACGGACTGAGTGTTGGTCTGTTACTACATTACCTTGATATTTGTTATCCGTTTTGTTATGCGCATCTTGTTGTGTTAATGTGGTATGGGAACTTAGACCAGTGTACATCCTTCCTAAGCTTCACGTTGATAATGGCTTTCTGACATTTCTAATTACAGTAGATGAGGGCGTCCCATATTTAAATCTTATTAACAGTACTAGACGGTCGCTGTTGCTAAAGCCCAATCTATTCTAAAGCTTACTGTCAGCCGCCACCAGGATTTATTCGGTCTGCTGATATTTACAGACAACATTCACTTTTCTCCATCTGACTGGTCTCAGTCGCTAATTGTCCCAATCTACAAGAAAGGACAAAAGTCTTCTTGTG